GAGACAAGGAGGGAACGTCGACGAAGGTGTCAGAGAAGACGTCYATGAAGAGGCTGAGGAGGAGGAGGAGAATGGACGTGGTAAGAAGGTACGCATGTCTAGTGTGCGTCTGAGGAAGGTTGAGAAACGGATGAAGCGCATGGACAAGCGCATGAATGATGGGTTCGAAGGTATTAAGGCCGAATTAAAATCCATCCGGAAGTTCTTGCGAAGAATCGCTAAGGTAATAACGGTTTTCACTTATAATAATTACAATGTCGTTTTTATATAGCGATAACTAACTTGGCTCCATTGTATAGGGTTTACCTGTCGACCCGAATGACATGAGAAGAGGCAGCAGCGGTGATGGTACTAGGCAAGGAGATGGTCCGAGTGATGGTTCTAGGCTAGGAGATGGTCCGAGTGATGCACCCAGTGGGGGACGTAGTGATCGAGGTGATGGTCCTAAGAATGGCGATGGTTCTACACCATCTCCTAAGGATGTGGACGACATAGATGACATGATCATCGATCCCCCCCATGTGATCGCGCACGAGACAAAGGAACATCAGTTCAGCCAAACGACCGGGGACCAGGTTGAACCAGAACGCGAGGTATGTGTTCGTAATCTATAAGTTCAAATTCGATCATAAGCATGGTCTAACGAAGGTTACTCTGCCCTGTATCAACAGCATTCACCTGCCTTGACGCGCAAGGAAGACATGGGTACAGAGGACGTGTTCAAGGAAGATATCGGTTTACATGCGCGTTGTGAGGCTGCCCTTCTCGAGCAGACTCCTGTTCAGAGCAGACAGGTGGACCATATTACGATCGATTCGCATCCGTTAGAGTCATCTATGGACGACGAGGTATTTATTTTTGACTTTTCAACTCTAAACACAAGATTTTATTTGCTAACAAAATTTATCCAGGACGAATACGCCGAGGACTTCACGGACTCTGATGCGGAAGGGCCGGGAGCGACGTCGCAACCAGACCTGGATGAGGTATGTGTGCTATCGCAGCCCGTTGAACGTCAGAACCCTCGACGGGGGTCTCGGAAGAGGAAGCTCCCATGGAAGCTTCGGGGGTCGTTCAATGTCATGGTGGACGGGAAGCGGAAGAAGGTAATGCGATATGACCCACTAGTCTACGTCCCCTCTGAACAAGTCCAGAAGTTTCATGCTTGGCTGGCTAACCCTAAAACTGACCGCGCCACTCGCAAATCATGCTACGATGATCGAGGAAAGACATGGTTCCGTGACCTTATCAACTCGGGCAAGTGGATGACGAGTGAGGTACGGGTTCGAAACCCCAAATATGTGTTGTACTGGTATTTAGTTTTTTTCTAACAACAATGACTTATACAGGTGATCGATTCGTTGTTCATGTTCACGCGGAACAAACTCAAGCAACGACAGGACTTGTGTTCTCGAAGACATTGTCCTTGCGGTATGTAATATATATATATATATATATATATATATATATATATATATATATATATATATATCTCATACGCTGACCGTTTTTACAAATTCATGTGCTAACCGAAATTTTTTATTCGTTGCAGAACTTTCTTCGACGAACAGACGGACTATATCAACGCATGACAGCCCCGAACGCTGTACCTGCGAGAGTTGCAGTGGAATACAATTGGGCTGGGAAGTGTAAGACCATCCTGAGCTATATGGACGGGACGCACACCGACTATCAGACACGATGGCTTGATCTAGATGCTGTTTACCTGCCATACAACATCGGTGGCAACCATTGGATTATGCTACACATCGATCTGCAGGAGGGTGAGATCATTGTGTGGGATTCGATGAGGTCGATGACACCCTTTCCAGCTCTGGAGTCCGAGTTGAGGCCGATGACTGTTGTCCTACCGGCGTTGATGCACAGGTCCGGTGTTCAGGTACTGAGGCCGACACTACCGAATACGCCATGGCGCATTCGTCAAGTAACGTCTGCGCCCCAGCAAAGCGGGTCTGGTGACTGTGGGATGTTTTGCTTAAATATTTCGAGTATGATGTAACAGGGTCAAATATGACCGGCTTAACTCAGGACAACATGAGTTTCTTTAGGGAAAAATTGGCCATAGAAATGTGGGCAAACCGATCTATATTTTGATACTAATCCGCTTATTAGTACTATGCCATTATTTTATTACCTAGCTCTTACAAACTACTTATCTTGCTTCGTATAAGACAAATATGTTAAGAAAGCAATTTGATAAATAAAACGAATCAATACAACATTGACCATTTAATATTCCACCCAAAAGAACAAAGTATGGAAATCACTGAAACATTTCACGGGCGAAATGACCCTATTCACGGGCAAGAAATATTTCAGTCAGTGCAAATGAAGTCACTGAAATATTTCTCGGGCGAGAATACGGCCATTTCGCCCGAAAAAGTTTTCATCCACTAGTGCGTTGGTCTTTGCACTATTTCACGGGCGAGAATATCATTACCCCGCCCGAGAACAGCATTCATGGCAAGATCTCATCAACATTTCGCCCGAATATATGATGATCGGATTCCAATACACAAAAAAGAAAATACATGGACATAAGTAAATCATACATCGAACTARGACTCAGTTGTTYGTAATGGTTGGCGGCAAGTTTTCCTATTGTGACCTTGCAYTCCACACYTGCTGCATTTATGTATCTGTTGAGGCTCGCCTGCTGATGGTATTCGTACTGTTTGTCGTCTACCAACTCTTGCAACGAACTTCGGAGGCTCGATGGTGTACTCAACAAAGTCGTCTGGTAAAGGCCAGTCCTCCTCATCACCCAATGGGTAGATTGGTTCGGCGTACGCGTTAAGAAGCATTTCTAATTTATACTTGGGCGAACACAACGTGTATATACTAACATTACGATGCATGGCGGCAGCGACAGCATGAGAGCACGGGATCTGGAAGTAGTCAAACTGCTTACACGTACAACTCTTACTGTTTAGGTTGACACGCATCTTGCTGTTACCATCGTGTACCTCGTACTCGTAATTATCAATCGGTCTAATCGTATGTTGTCGGGCCTGCTCCACTGCACTCTTAACAATCCCCTCAGCATAATCAGTTAGAATGGATGCTCTGGTCGATGC